TGAAAAACAATAAAATTTTGATTCCCTATAAAATTAAGTAGCCGTGGTCAATTTTTTGAATTTTTGTGCAAGCACTACCGCATTTCCAATAGCATATATGTTCAAATTTTGTGGACTAATTTACCGTGGTTTATGAATAACGAGCAGTTGATAGTTGTTTTTAGTCTTTATACTGACCATCCGATGTTGAATAATGTTTGAATAAAACTTGTCATATATACTTAAATACGTTGAACTCGTTTAAGGAAAATACTGGATACCAGATGGCTAACGGCAACTATTATGTTAATTAAAAGGGATTGTTGATTATTTAAGTCAAATATTGGCAGCAAATATTAGGATATTAAAAAATACTATTTAATACTACGTGGTCGAACTCATAACATGAGAGTCGCGTTATTGCGATTTACATAATACCTATTTCAAGGAACAGAGTAGCAAGGGGTGGAGTTTTCTGGTCGCAATGAGAAGGCCGTGTTGTCTACAGCTCGACCAGAATAATTTTAATGGACGATTCTTTTCTGATGTTGTATAAATTATCCACCTTCGGCACAGAAAAGGGAGCTATATTTCTTCGATTATATTTATTCTCGCGCTTTTCGATTGAAACGCACTCCCGAACAGACTTGATATAGATTTTCTAATAATAAATGAATTGGGAAATACTAACTTTATATAAGCCAAAGCATCTCTCAAAAATGTTCCTTGCAATGAATGTCATTGAATTTCTGATTGAGGACAATTGACAAGAAACATTCAGTTCTTTCTTGTTAGAAGCGATGTGATAATTCACCTTATGGTCGTCATTTATAACCCCTACATCCACAAATAAATAAAGACCCTTGGTTTATCAATTGCGCACCCAGACGTAACATTGCTTGTCTTATTAACAGGCTAATGTTCAACCACACAAGTTGTAATGATCATCTATTCAAAATAAACATAATAAACAACTCTTTATGCACATGTGGAGTCTTACAATCTCCTGATCATACCCTATTTGTCTGTCCGAATGTTAACGCTTTCATTCGCCACACTTTGCAAATTAACTACAAGCGGTCTTCGTGCTCACAGCATTCTTGACATTTTCCATTCTCTCAATTTAACTTTTTAACTCGTTATCTTTCCTTTTTTTAAATCACATCGTCAAGCCATATAAGCGTTTACAGTCAATATGTGAACCTACTCTCTTTTACACTTTTTTGCTCTTACTACCATCAATTCCCTCATATAACTTTTTATACTCATTTTCCACATTATATCTTACACATTGGAATTTACTCCTCGCTCTTCTATTCAACGTGGTAGACGAGTAATATCCATATTTTAATAAGAACTAAAATAAAAACGTGGGGGACGTACAACATGCCAAATTAAAAAAAAGGACTTTAATGAAATAATCAGTAAAGTAAATAAATAATAATATTTATATACCAAATCTAACCCCAACTTTACTAAGACCCAAAAAAGGAACTCTATATTCACATTGGTGTTTTTTTACACACTTAACAGAAGAAGAAGTAGATTTATTTCTTCATTCTTTGGGCTATTTGAATACCAAGCGAACGAATGAAACCAAATGGAAGAATTCGTGAGCATCATTGCAGCAACGAAAATGCAGCGACGACGAAGGATATGGCGCAATAGCGCAGGCGTGGCTACCTGAACGTTATTAACCCCGAAAGATCTCGCTTGTGGCTGCGTGAAGACAACGAGGTACGAAGGATTTGAAGAAGCATGACTTTCCTTTACGAGGAAAAATTAACGATATCAATGTTGCATATGGTCGAGTTAAAGTGAATTGTCTCAAGAAGAGACATTTTGCGGTCAGTAGCCCTAAAACAAATGTTCTTATGTTATCAGTAAATAATTTTTGAGGAAACGGTTGGTGTTTTATTTGAGAGAAAGTAAAGTTCAACGATCTGAAGAAGTACTGTGAGTTTTAAATTGTAACCGTTAAAGACTCGGTCATGTTGGAAAAGTGAATAGAAAACATCAATATGACAGTTTTAGCTGGAAAAATGATAGATGATATTAAATTCTTTCCGAAATTCATAAGAATTTAATATTTACTTCATGCTTGCTACAACAAAGTCTTCCTAGACACCATGGGGTGCGAGTTGAGTAAAACATATTGAAAAAACTATGACTCGAAATATTTTAATTGCGAAGCATAGCGTTTGAAGCGTGCTTACCTAACAAATATGAAAAAAGGCGGCAGTCTTCGATAACTACATAAAATTTCATAAAGCGAGAATACACATGCAGAAATAAGACCTTTATTATTTAAAAGCACAAGGCACAAGACCAAAACAATTGGTGGAGGTATGCAAGTCTGGTGTATGCGATCCTATGGAGATAACGACAGTTAGCCTTTTATTTATTTGTATTGTAAACTAAGTTGCGACCGTATCCATGAAATTCAAGAGTGCTATGGAGAATTACTGCGGTAAAAAATAAAAAACTTTCGTGCGGACAATGGAAGCGAATATTGCAATCGTTAGAAGGAATAGATGTTCTAGGCAGCTAGAATCCAGCCTTCAACAAGTACTTACAGAACAGAAAGGGCTAGCAGAGAGTAAGAATCATACAAATTGCAAACAAACCAGAATAAGAAAATCTGGACCGAAGCCAATTACATTGCAGTATGCCGTACTAATAGTTCGCCATGTAAAAATCTTCAAAATTACACACCGGTAAAAGCCTTGTTTGGATATAAACTGAAACGACGAAAAAATTTTGGTTGTCCTGCAAGTTCCTAAAGAAAAACGAACAAAGCTTAATCCTCCAGATGAAGAAGTTTGATTTGTTAGTTATCGTGATAATGCCAAGGTATACAGATACATGAAATCAACGACTCGTAAAGCTATTATAAGCGGAAATGCTGCTTTTAAGGAAATCCAATTTTATTCAGCAGAAGATGAAAATAAGGAAAAAACTTTTATATTCGCCATTCTTTTTCTATTTAAATGATGAGGCAATTTCCGTCAATGGTCCGGAAGGTGCTCCGCTTCCATACTATCCCAAGTATGCATTGCGGATGTATCGTTCAGTTTCTCAAGAGCAATAACAACAACTACAACAAAAAAAGATAAAATAGCGGTAAAACTAATACCAGAAATAGCAAAATAAATTACGACAAAAGCGTTAAAGCAGGATCGGACGCATATCTTCCATCAGTTTATATATACTTTCGAAGCATGCACGGTAGCTCTGAAAATAGTAGAGAACTAGTTTATCATATTCAAAGGTGAAACGTCTTTCGTCAAAAATCAAGATATGCGTTTAACAAAGCAAGTACTGCTCTGCTTTAAAATTTGCTCGCCAATAATAATGTTAGTCTGACAATTGAGAACCTAGATATTCGAACATTTTCGTTCTGTAACTTATAAATGTTAGCTATTTTAGTAGCCTTTCCCATTAGAGAACCGTCTCAACGGGATACCTGTCCGGTGTGGTTTAATGGCATACTTAAATACTATAAGAGTAAGAAAAACGAACTTTTCAGCAGATATTTGAAAAGGGGCTGTGCATATAGTTATGGCAAATACTCTGCGGTTAAGTATAGATTCAACTATAGGAAAACCAATGGTATTGCAGACACATACCAAAGGTAAAAGTATCACTTCCTATTAATTCTACATACTTTTATAGGTTCGCCAGCTCGCAGAAAAAGAGCAACTACCCGTACCAAATAAATGACTGTATTGTTTTTCCAAATGTTACTATTTCGGATTTGAATGCACATCAAGAGTTAAAGACATGGAATCATAATTGTGTTCCAGGACCGAACGGCGTATCGTGCGCCGAGGAACTATACGGGGTACTTTTCAATATTTCGTTCTCTCTCCGGTGTTTTTCCATTATGTTGGAAAGCTAGCTTTCTTCTTCCACTTCGCAAAAGAGTAAAAGACACTACAGAGAACTACAGAGACATTCCCAAGTTGGGTATTTTACCTCCATTTTTTGAACGAATCGTTACTAAATCTCTTCGGTTCAGCATGCCGTCCTTAAGGACAGGTTAACCAGAACGACATCGTATTAAGTTTACATGTTGCTGTGTTTTCAAGACATTATCCTGTGTCTTATAAATGGATCTAGTATTTTCAGATTTTAGTAAGGCTTTCAATAGCATTAATTGCGAGCTATTGATTTAAACTTCAGTCCTCGGGTTTCGATATATTGAAATGGATAGATATCCTCCTATCTTCAAAATAGATCGACTGCAGTCCTGCTAACGCTACCTCACCTGAAGAATTTTCTTTCACCTCAGGTCTACTTACTGGCAGTCACTTAGGTCACTTTCTATTTACTCTTTATATAATTTATCTTCTATCGGTGATTAAGCCCAGCTATGTATGAACGACGATGTTAAGCTGCTCTCTTCTATCAATGTAAAACAGTCTGCAATCCTCTTAGACAATTTGGCTGTGTGCTGCTGCTTTA